CCTTCTTTACGGGGTATGTATAGACGGTTTACATCAGCCTTTGGATGATGCATCTTATACTTAGAAAGAAGCTTTCTTGTTTTAGAATCCATTTGTCTGATGTCATTTAGAGTCCAGTTCAAGATGTTGAAACTATATTGGACCACTGGGATGGCTAGGTTATTAATGGCCATAATTCTGTTCTGAGAATTCAATTCAGTTTTTAATACCAGTTACCCTTCTATAGTACTCTTTACGCACTATTTCTTTTCATTTTCTTATGGTGAATTCCTTCACTCTCATTTACACCTAGGTACTTATAAGCTTCTCCTTGTTCTAAATCTTTTATTTAGGGGTTAAACTAATAGAGGAAGTTTGTTGTAGCGATCCTCGTAAAACTGTAGCTTTAGCACATTTATCCAAATTGAATTTCATTCCGATGTCTTCACTGAAGCATTTTACAGTTTGCAGAAGACCTTCCAGCTCATTGTCATTCCTAGCATACAATTTTAAGTCATCCATGTAAAATAGATGGTTTATTTTCTTTTGAGCTATTTTGTAACCGCATTCTGTCTTGTTGTTGGCTGGTTAATGCTATAAGTGATATGCAAAATAATAAAGGAGACAAAGAGTCACCTTGAAATATTCCTCTATTGATGTTTATTTGCCAGACTTATAGGTTCCATTTTTATGATTGAGGTAAAGTGTAGTTTTCCATATCGACATACATTGTTTGATGAAATTGATGATAACGGTGATACCTTTACATACTTAAAGACTTTAAGATCCAGGAATGTGGTAACTATCGAATGCTTTACGATAATCTATCCAGGCAATACTAAGATTTTTTTTTTCACGGAAGCAGTTTTCCAGGATCATCCTATTAATAAGTAATTGGTCTTTACATCCGTAGCAGCCTCGTTTGCACCCTTTTTGTTCAAGTGGTAGTATGTCATTTCTTTCCAAGAAGAAATATGTCTGTTTTGTTAAAATAGATGTTTAGTTTGTATGTTGTTGGAAGACATGTAATTGGTCTATAGTTTTTTCGGAATATTTGTGTCACTATTTTTGGGTAGAAGAAAGGTAACTCCTTTGGTCATCCATGCAGGAATTTTAGTTGGATCGGTAACCATTTCTTGAAGTTCTTTGGCGAGTTTTTTGTGTGCTGTATTTAAATAATATAGCCAGAAGTTAGGAATTTTATCTATTCCTGGAGATTTCCAGTTGTGTGCTTTTTCAGTGCACATTTAACATCTTCTTCTGTGATTCCGCCCATGTCTGTTCTGGTTTATTTTTCATTCGTTCTAACTCTTGCGCAATCCAATCTGCCTCTTCGTTGTGTTCTTTAGGGCAAGCCCATATTTTTCCCCAGAACTGTATAACTTCTTCCATTTTAGGGGGACTGTCACTTCAATTTTTGTTTACCTATTTCCTGTAAAATTTCTTTTGCATCGGTTTGAAAGATCTTGTTCTGTCTATAGAATCTTGATCTTTTCTCGTAGCGTCTTATTTCTTTGAGCCTTCAGTTGTATTGTTTGCTTTATTTTTTTTCTTTAGTTGATAGGACTTCATTTTCATTCCTAATATTGTATTTTTTTCGATCTTCTGCCTTTTCTAGTTCTTACATTTACTCCTCTTGCTAGTTCATCGAGTACTGATAATTCACTTCTAAGGTGTTCAATTTCTTTTCTATTTTTCTTTTCCAAGGTGGATCTTCATGTCTGTGAGACTGCCTTTTTTTTTACTTTTGATGTTCAGTTTATTTGTTGCTGCTATTGCTGATGCATTATTATTATTATTATCATTATTACAATTATTATTATTATTATGTATGATATTTGCCTGAAAATTCCTAGTGAAAAGACTCTGGTCTTGCGCTGCAAGAATAAAGCCTTCAGTTTCAGACTTTAATCCAGATGCTCGTAACCATCGATGAGTATTAACTTTATCAACATTTTTTTATTTGCACGTTCTGGATATTGGCCATGCAGAGGTTTGTCTTGCCAGCGTTGTTTTTCATCTGTTCAAGGGCTTTATCCTTGGCTTTCTTTTTCATATCTTTTGCTGCAATAGTTGGTTCTTGGCTTCTGTTTTGATTTACTAATTATTATTATTATTATTATTATTATTATTATTATTACAATTATTATTATTATTATTATTATTATTATTATTATCGTCGTACGTCAGTACATACATGATTTTGCAGTATTATGATGAAAAAGATGTTATCCAATAAATATCTGAAATATTAAAGATAACATTCATATCTTAAACAAAATTTTTTCGTTTTGTAATCATATCCTATATACTGTACCGCACCAATTTCATTATGAGAAGCGTATCCTACCATTATTTAAAGAAAATGCTTTTAAACTGCGAATAATATCATTCTAATTAAGTTTTATGACAATTCTTATTTTATTTTACGGCAATTTTTTAAAGATTTTTGTAGCTGTGCATAATGCGCACCCCTGATTTTGCTTATCTTTTTTTTCTTAAGAAAAAATGCCTATTATACAATGAGAATTACAGTATATACAAAGTCAGGTAAAAAAGCTGAAATTACTCGGGCAAATAATCAGAAAGGAGGGCATGGACAATTTTATGATCACTGGCCATATTGATAAGCTTGAGTGACTGGATGGCGGAACGGGAAGCGAAGGCCTTAGCAAAATGAGAAAAACTGCTAGGCGTCACGCAAGATAAAAAGCTGTGGAGAGCCTTGATTGCCTATGTCCTGAAGAAGATAATTCCTAAGGAAGGGCATGAGTTTTAACTCATGATACTCGGAGTATCATTACCACATTTTGGAATTTGAAACCACATATATTTAATCAAAATGTAACTGGGACTGTAATGGACGTAAATTACGCAGAATTGAGCCGCTTGGCTCAGATTGACCTTGACTTCTGTCGGGCATACACACTAAGTTATAACGTTCTTGCTCACTTGCATTGTTCATAGCAAGTGCTTAGAAGGAAGGTGTGTAGAGTGTGGTCGTGTCACAATGGATCCATCTGCTTGTGCAGATATTTTTGACCAAGGAAAACATTCCCTAGGTTGGATAATCATATTCCACGGATGTCACCACTTGCGACATTTTTTCTCTTCAAAATCGAGTCTCACTTGAAAGGAACAAGATTTCAAGATTTCGAGGAAGTCCAAGAGAATCTAACAAGGTAGCTGCTTCCTAACTGCACAAAAATGAGTTTCAGTAATTTTTCTATCAATAGAAAAGATGCTGGGTAAAAGTGGGTAGCTTTAGAAGGTGACTCCTCCGAAAGAGATGAAATGTCATAGTTATATGTACTGTAGTTTTCTTTTGATGACACCATTCCAGATACCTTTTGATCAGACCTCGTACATACGTTATTAAACTCTTAAATTCACAGAGATTTTAAACTTTGCTTTCGATTTTAATCTTCAAGGGGTAAAAGTAGCTTTCTTGCATATATAGATATATAAAATATTGCTATCCGAAGATGGTTGCTTTATTGAATTCACTGTTTATTAAATTTCAGAATAGTAACTCCATTATTTTTAAAGATTATTACATTTGCATGAAATCACTTTGGTTAGCTTTTGTGAGGATGAATGAAAAGCAGTTTTCTATTGTTTATTTCCAGGTAAATTTTCTATCCATCTATGCAAGGGCTCGAATTTATTTCTAATTACTCTCAAAGTTGCAGTTCAATGCGCTTGCATACACACACAATCATGATTATATATATATATATAAATATATATATATATATATGAAGAAAAATGTACTGAAAAAACAAAATTCCTAATATGCGATTATGCTGTTTTAATGTTTAATGTCAACGTCGGACGTTTCGGTCTAATAGGCTATCTTCAGGACATATTCATAAAACATAATTAACATAGACCATATACAATTCAACATGAAAAAGACGATGGACATAAAAGCAATACCAATCCAAACAGATAACTGAAATCTTTCATTCAAAATACTCAAATTTTAGGTATACGTTTTCACAACATCGCCCACGTGACGACGACGTGATCATATTTAAAAGGAATGCTGATCTTTTTATACATATAAAATATTTTGTGGGATGGATAATTATGCTTCTACTCGATTTGGCCAAATGTGGTGTTACACATATATATATATATATATATATATATATATATATATATATATATATATATATATATATATATATATATTGACGTTTGGATGCATTATGCCTTATGGGATATTATTTCCGGAAAATAGTTTCATGAACATTTTTTGAAATGTCAACAACTTATAACTCTCTCGGAATTCCATGCGTAAATTTATTATATATATATATATATATATATATATATGAACAAAATAAACGTCATATTTTAAAATTTCTTTAGGATCTTTTCGACCAGCGCATTTGCAAAAGGAATTCGTTTTAAGAAATGTTCACAGTCAAAAATCGCCCTGTGATTTCTTGGGGATTATTAATGTGTCTTGTATATCGGCAACGAATACCCTTTGAAAAAGCGTTGGTCGAAAGGATCCTAAATGTAAAAAAAAATGACGTTTATTTTGTTGATATCTATGTTTTATTTCTTTGGGTACAAGTTCTTCTTATATGTATACATACATACATACATACATATATATATATATATATAGATAGATAGATAGATAGATAGATAGATAGAGAGTTGTATATGTGTGTGTGTGTGTGTGTGTGTGTGTGTGTGTGTGTGTGTGTGTGTGTGTGTGTGCATTTGTTTGGCTATATGTTCGTATATAAAGAATGGAACAAGTACAGTTAAATAGTATGTGTAAATATCATCAAAGAACAACCCGAAAGGAAGGCCGATGGGTGCCATGAGCCGTCACGAACCGATCTGTCTAACTCATTCCCAAAAGCCTAAAGTCAAAGATATAACCTCAAGTGGAATTCTCTCTCCTTCTTTCCATTGCTTCTGGATTCATACGACCAATTTGTTGTTCTTTGTAGCGTTTACTAAACTTTGTCTTTTTGTCGTTCCGATTTCGGCGTTACAAAGATTATGTGCGGCTTTCCTCCTCCTCCTCCTCCTTTTTCTTCTTCTTCATCGTCTTCTTCTTCTTCTTCTTCTTCATCATCATCATCATCTTCTTCTTTTTCATCATCATCATCATCTTCTTCACGATCATCATCATCTTCTTCATGATCATCATCATCTTCTTCTTCATCATCATCATCTTCTACTTCTTCTATATCATCATCATCATCTTCTTCTTCTACTTCTTCTTCATCATCATCATCTTCATCATCATCATCTTCTTCTTCTTCTTCATCTTCTTCTTCATCATCATCATCATCATCTTCTTCATCATCATCTTCTTCTTCTTCTTCATCTTCTTCTTCTTCTACATCATCATCTTCTACTTCTTCATCATCATCATCTTCTTCTTCTTCATCATCATCTTCTTCTTCTTCTTCATCATCATCATCATCTTCTTCTTCTTCACCATCATCATCATCTTCTTCATCATCATCATCATCATCATTTTCTTCTTCTGCTATGTGCTGCTTCCTTTCAGGTCGTTGGCGATCATAGCCCTTCACAATTTCATGTCTTCGTTTTAGTAAAATTTAACTTTTTTGCTATATCTCTTAATCCCTGTTCTGCCAAGCTGCATTCCACTGTCCCTCTTTACTTCAATATGTCCTGTGAGTGTCAAATTTTCTAAGCCCCCTTTCCTCATTATGTGCCCTAGAAACTTCGAACAATATCTTTCCGATGCTAAGTATTAGTGTCTTTTTTGTTTCCGTTTTCGCTAAAACTTTGTCGTTTCTCACATGCCCATTCCATCACGGAAAAGCATCCTTCTGTAGAATTACATTTCATCTGTTAACAGATTGTCCATTATAAGTGTTTTGTACTCTTTTCTTTGTTTCTAATGAAATTTTCCTGTTTCTTAATACTTTGCTTAGATTTGGAAAGCATCTTTCACTATCCCAATGCGCCTTCGGATTTCGGTGTCGCTCTCCCCCTCCCCTGTTAAAAAAAATGTAGAATGTATATGTTTTTTACTTACTTGATCTTGCTGTCGCGAATTTGTAATTCGCATATCTATTAATATAAATACATACGATCAAGCACAATAACTCTAAACAATATATATATATATATATATATATATATATATATATAAATTACAAAACATATTAGACATTCATTGTCCGTTATATTTAACAATATATGTTTAAAAATAATCATTCAGATCGAAATATCCACCGTAACGTTTACGGAGGAGATTTCGATCTGAAGAGTTAAACGCCTTGGTGTTCCCGAAATGAATTATATTCGCAATTATTAAATTAATTAGTCTTCGTCTTCTTATTATCATCATAATCCTGTGGCACCTTGCATTATTAGAAATATTCCTAGAAATATGATTTAATTTTTTTCTTACTCAGTTTATTAAACAGGTTGTTAATTTTTTTTTAAAACGGAAAATAACTGAGTTGAAAATAATTCACTAAGAGTGTACTAGACGATCCTAAGGAAAAAGAAGGAAAGAAAGGAAAAAGGAAGGAAGGGAAGAAAAAGAAAGAAAGAGAAATGTATGACCATGACCCTCAGAAAGAGATTTAGGTCAGCGTCTTGGCCGATTTTCGAAAGACAAAAGAATAGAATTATAAATAATAAGAAGAAAGAAAGGGAAAAAAAAGACATGATATTTTGATGTAGACCAGATATCGTCAAAGCATCTGACCGACTTTTGCGTGGGGAGACTCTTTATCAATTTGGTTTAGAACAATAGAAATGAAATTTTTAATCAGAAAAGTGTTTTGGGTTGAGGGAGTTACCGGTGGAACGATATACAGATCTTGACCTGTTAAGAATTGGACACCCACGTTAATAAAGTAGACATTTCAATGTAGATAATTAAGATTTTCGACTATCAGGAAAACAAAGAGGTAAAAAAGAGGGACAATTGCTTTTGGCTCAAGAGGGGCGCCAAGAAGGCGGAAAAGATCCTTTCTAAAGTCAAGACTAATTAGCAGCGGGCTGTTTGACAAAGTCCAGGTGAGAGAAATATATATATGCAAAAAGGAAAAATATTTTGTTTTTTTTAAACAAGAACGATAACCACGCCCGCAAACAGAGGGGAGAGGATATCAATAACAATTGGTCGAATATCACGTGACCTGCGGAAAGGAAAGGAAAGAAATCGATCAGGAACGATTGGTTGAAAAGCGGTATATATGGATATATATATATAGCGATAATGGAGAAGACAGAAAACAGTTTTTGAATTATCGAGAAAAACCCTGACATTCAGTTTGTTGCGGCGTCAATAAAAGCAGGGCCCCAATCAGTTCATCCCCGGACGGCAGCGAGAAAAGAACCCTCAGACAAGAAGAACTTCCAGCCCAAGTAGATGAAGAAGAAGATTGCCTGAAAGCCTTGGAGCTGCAGACAAGCCGAAAGTCGATGAGAAGTTAAATCCGGACGGCAGTGAGAAGAGACCACCTCAGACGACAGAGAGTTGCGGCTTTAAACAAGAAATCTTCCACCAATTCAGGAAAAACTACCAGCCCAAGCAGACGAAGAAGAAGAAATACAATCCGGAGAGAAGAATCAACTGCGAATGATCGATTTAGCCCCAGTGTCGAACTGAACCACACTCCGACATACATACATGATTCTAGAAAGTAGGTAATTCGACATTTTCTATTGTGTGATAGAAGCTTGGTGCCATAGTCCACAGAGCGGGTCGGGAAATGAGAACACTTTTGTTCTTATGTAACGGACTTTAAGATATAAAAGGAATTACCCTTTTATCAGCAATTTTGTTTGGTGTCGTGAGTTTTTATTTTATTTGTGTTTTTAATGTCGGACTCAACTTGTATCGGCCCCTGATCCCTGCTGGTAATGTCTGTCTAGTCAGCGTGGGTAGACAGACCGGAGATCGGTATAGTTCTTTAGTGACCCGAGTCGGGAAAGGCGAGGCTGGTGATCATCTTTATATGGACCCAGGAGGAGCGACCAGGAGGAGCGACGTCACCGTTGGCGCTAACCAAAGGATCCGACCTGGGCCAGGTGTTAACCGAATTATCAACATTGGCTTTATATCTTCCTCGGAATTATCCATTCTAGTACAAACTTAATACGTATAACCACACTGATGAGCTTTGATACAGGGAAACAGTCCGTCTGTTGATGTTTTTATATATATATATATATATATATATATATATATATATATATATATATATATATGTGTGTGTGTGTGTGTGTGTGTGTGTATGTGGAAATATATAGAAAATAGGAAGGAACTGGTAAAGGTAAATAATCCAAAGTTCTTAGTATTTTAGTGATTATTTTTAAAAAATAGTGCTCGATACAAAAGTAAAGCATAAATATAATTATTTATTTTAAAATATGATTCAACTCGCGACATAAAGGTCTCATGTTTCAAAACAAGAGCCTGCAAACTTCAATATAATATATTATATTGAAGTTTTCAGCTCTTGTTTTTAAAACATGAGACCTCTTATGTCGCGAGTTGGAATCATACTTTTAAATAAATAATTTTATATATATATATATATATATATATATATATATATATATATATATATAGAGAGAGAGAGAGAGAGATGGACAGACAGGCAGACAGATTCAAAGCGCGAAAGACAAAGATGAAGCGACTAATACATATAGTATTAAAGTGATACTTTTATTATGGCTTATCAACTCTTTGCAGGTTATTTAAAGCCAGGAAATATTTTTTTTAGATTTTAAGAATTTTTAAGGTATTTTTTATAATAATAATTTATTCATACAAGTCTTACAAATTACACCTTTTCCAAGATTATTTGCGCGTAAATGAATATAGCGAACCCACCTGGAATTGGAGCTCGGATTAAAAATTCTAAGCCATTATCCATTATACCACCGAAGCAAGCAGTCACCCATCTAGGTATTATATAATTTTGAAATGTGTTTATTAGACAAGTGTACGAGAGGTGACTTCTTCGGAGCAAAAATGTACAATTTCTCTACATTAACTACATCGGGACAAAAGGTAATTTTTCAGAGAGATCAGTATTGACCCATGGAACTAAGACGTGCAAACTAATAAATGGACACAAAGAGTGAAAAGAAATGAATCTATAAATCAAATCTACAGACGCCATTCTAACAATATAAGAATCAGTGATGGAAGTTCATGTCGTTTTGGCGAAGTCAAAAGTGAGGTCAAGTTAAGTTGAGGAAACGGTGATGGAAAATCTTGAACATTTAAAGATTTATTCAGAATTCTTCAAACTTTCAATAAACAGCGAAGCGCCAAATAGCCAATGAACTTTCTGTCTCCGGAAACTGGGCTTTCTTAACCAGTTGACCATTTTCAACTAGCGTTCCATGTTGAAGCAGTACGCAGATTGGAAACATGCCACTGAGTGAAACTCTTTTTTCGGCTACATAGAAAAACAAAGTGTCAATAGATAGATAAATAAATAATTTCCTATCAATTATGAGAAACGAAAGAAAGTAGCATCTCCTTATATCAATAGAAGAAAGAGGTGAGAGAAGGAGAAGAAAAAGAAGAATAAAAGCGGGAAAGAAGAAGAAGAAGAAGAATAAAAGCGGGAAAGAAGAAGAAGAGGGAGAGAAGAAGAAAAAGAAGAATAAAAGCGGGAAAGAAGAAGAAGAAAAAGAGGGAGAGAAGAAGAAGAAAAAGAAGAATAAAAGAGGGAAAGAAAGAGGAGAAGAAGAGGGAGAGAAGAAGAAGTAAAAGAAGAATAAAAGTGGAAAGAAGAAGAAGCGGGAGAAAAGAAGAAGAAGAAGAAGGAGAAGAAGAAGTAAAGTTGAAAGAAGAAGAAGAAGAAGAAGAAGAAGAAGAAGAAGAAGAAAAGTGGAAAGAAGAAGAAGAAGAAGAAGAAGAATAGGGCGAGAGAAGAAGAAGAAGAATAAACGGGGGGAAAGAAGAAGAAGAAAAAGAAGAAGAAAAGGAGGAAAGAAGAATAGGGCGAGAGAAGAAGAAGAAAAAGAAGAATAAAAGCGGGAAAGAAGAAGAAGAAGAAGTGGGAGAGAAGAAGAAGAAAAAGAAGAATAGATGCGAGAAAGAAGAAGAAGAAAAAGAAAAGTGAGAGAAGAAGAAGAAAAAGAAGAAGAAGAAGACAAAGGCGAGAGTATAATAATAATAATAATATCAATAATAATATAAATAAACCTTCAGGATAGAAAGTCAGGATCAGAGACCCAAGGAAATTAATAATAAGAGGAGATTAAATAAAATATTTAAAATAAGTACTTAGTACTTTTCGGAGAACTGAGTTCGAATTCCAGTCGAATCGATTACATTCACTTACGTGCTCATACCCTTAGGAATGGTATGAATCCTCTTCTTCTCCCCCACCAAGCTATGGGTAAATAGCAGGACAGACCGGGTTTTATAGCCTTCGATGTCTATTGGTCTACCGCAGAAAGCAATGGCAACGTACTGCGGGAAAAAATCTGCCTCGTCAGTCATGCATAGAAAGATAGATGATCGCCTAAGCGTGCATCACCCGTGGCACACAACTGAATGACTGACGTTCTAATACCCTTGGGAAAGGTATGGATCCTCTTCTTTTCCCCTCAGGTATGGGTAAATAGCAGGACAGACTGTGTTCTATAGCCTTGGATGGTAACTCGTCTACTGCAGAAAGAAATGTCAACCTTCTGCTGGAAATATCTGCCTCGTCAGTCATGTATCGAAAGATACATGATCGCCTAAGCGTGTATCACGCATGGCACATAACAGGCTGACTTAGTACTTTAATCAAAGCTCCCATATCAGTCAAATCGATTCCTACCTTAATAGAAACATAATGGACTCTCTATGCTTTCCAAATCGAAGCTTTTTTGTCTGTAATTATATGACAGATTGTGCTTCCTCGACAATCATAATGTCAAGATTATCACCACATATCAGAGAACAAAGAATCCACTCAGATTATACGATTCTCTTTCCTCTACAATTCATGAGTGGGCTATCTGCATTTAAGAATTGATGATTAGCATCAGAGCAAGGCAAAAAGAAAGAACAGAGTACCTCCATCACATAGCATAAACGGCAGCTGATTCCATGCTTTTGAAACGGGATTATCGTCTCCACTTATTTCCCTTTTAATTAATCGACACTGGGCTGGAATTCACATGAACCTGAATTATACACTTGTCTGTTAAGTTAAGGCTAGGTGGTTCCAAGTCTTTTCTCAGTATATTCTTTATTTCGCGTATAGTTGAATATCGCTGTCTAAGCTAGTTCCTATTTGACTTTCAAGTGGTTTCTGCTTTTACATTCCTTATATTTGTAGGAGATTTTAAAGATACATTCATTTTCAATCACTGTCTCTTGTGGGTGACTATCTCTAGCAAGTAGGTTGAGAATTGTGAGCGTGCTATAGAAAAGCAATATTTATTTTATGCTGTTTCAACCCGAAAACTTACAATTGTTCCTAGATTTCATCATTTTCCATCATTTTTCTGTGGCTCCTTTTTTGCTATCGCTCCTTTCATTTATTCATATATCCGGGTGTCTTTGTTACGACTACCCGAACAGTAATCACCTTCTGGGAATGAAACCCAACAAAGAATTGTGAACAACAGTTTGTTCACATCATTCGTCCATACCATAAGAATTCTATACAATAGATTGATAAAATACATCCCGTCTAGAAAACAAAACAAACAAACAAAAAAATTACAAAATACTTGTTATTCAAAAATCTTACGAAATCCGTAGAAGTTTCGATAAAATCATACACTCTCTATCTAAAGTTATTTAAAATTTCCCAACAGAGACAAAATAAAACTTTTGTTCCAAATAAATATTTTTATAATGTTCTAAATAAAATTGCGTTGCACACCTCGACATTTCCTTTGTGCAATCACTGTCTAGATCTTGAATCAAATGTAGCAATTATTTACGTAGATTTGCACGCAGACATGTATACGACTTCTTACATTATCCTCTTTTACTAAATAGTCACCCCTTTTAATTACGGATCAAAATGATCGCTGCTTAACTTGACTAAAACAGAGATGTGGTTCTACAGAAGGGCACTGAGAATACCATTGACGGAGCATATGAGCAACGAGGAAGTTTAAAGAAAATCGGAACAAAAAGAACACATACTTTGAATAAGAAAGTCGATTGGTTGTTTTTAATTTGTGGCATATTAACCTCGATGGCTTATTTAATGTTGAAATCTAAATATTTTGAACCCAATTTATGGCTTCAACTAAATAGGTTCTGAACGCAATTGTATACCTTCAGTTTGCATTAAAATGTATTATTAATCATTTTAATATATATGTATATATTGTTGGTAATTTTACCATAAATAGTTATTGTTGGTAGTTTTTGCTCTAAATAGGTATTGTTGGTAATTTTAACATGAATAGTTATTGTTGGTGTTTTTGATATAAAAATATATTTTTCATAGTGCTTTGTTTTGTTTGAGGGTTCCCTATTTGGCCATAACTGAGACCCTAACATGTGCTAAATGTCAAGGGGGACCTGAGATCATCAGAAATTAAGAGGTGGTTCCATACTACTCAAAGCATTCAAGCACCCCATGAGAGGCCTTGCTGTCGGGTGTTATTTATCGTCATACCCAGGACTAATTTAATACGGAAAACACCATATAGAAAATATAATACCCAATATTAGCATATCGACTTTTGTATTCCTTCGATATCAAGATTGGACATTATTATTTTTTAAAAATATTATTCAATTCAATAGAAGGCTCAAAATCCACTCAAGGTAGAGAATACTTATTGCACTTTTTATAAGTGAGTTGAAGTAGGTAAAAAATGCTTATTATAAGGACGTGTAGGATAGATACCGGTTGACACTAGATTAGAAGAGACTGAGATTGTAGTTTATCGTCATTCCCAGGACTAGGAATGAGAATGAGACAGTTGAATTTTTTAGGGCATATAATAAAGAAAGTGGGCTCGGAGAATTTAACTCACAAGGCATAATGAAAACAAGAAGAACAGAGGGAAACAGCGAGTAACCTATCCAACAAACTTTTGTGAATGAATGGCTAAACAGGAAGTAGGAAAGATAGCAAAAACAAAACATTGTTATGAGCGAAAGAGAATAGTTGGTTTTGGTGAATAATGGACGCCACGTCCTGAAGAGACATAGAAATAAAAGAAACAAAAATCGGTTGTGTAGCTTAAAGCGATGCTTTCTTTGTAATTTTTCCATAACGACATTGACTAACCAAATGTACAATTCCTATTTCTGTTCATTCTGCATGTGAATACTTTCAAATTCTTCCAAATTTGATAACGATCTAGAATATCAGTCTGAGTTCTAACTAAAGACTTCCGGTGGCGTTTCTACTGGGGCATCGTTTTGGCAATATCAACCTGAATGTTTCCTGCATAGATTTGACTGTATTATCGTATTCATTTTCTTTTTTTGGACGGAGAAACTGCAGCTATAATTGTCTGGTACGCCTAAAAAATAAACGCGCAGGTCCATGATGCTGTTGTACGGTATGCGATGACAAATTTACTAGTCCAGGCACAGAAATACACTATAAAGTATCACGGATCTACTCTAGGGTTTGATAGTAGAAATGATGTTTACTTAATGGCATGACATGACAATTTCCTATCACACATACTAGCAGGCACCCTCATGCTTGAGAGAATATAGAGTCTTCTTGTTCTTTTATGTGCCGTGTCCCTTCAGGATGTAGGCGATCATGTGTCTCCACTTTCTCCTATCCCTTGTAGTTCTCAATATGTTTTGTCCTTTTTCTACTCCTCACAAACCCTGTTCACTTGCTTAAGCCCGCTAGGCATGTCACGCGTTCCTTTCCCTTGTCTCTCTTTTCCCTGTAATCGCCCTTTGAGTATCATATTCTACAATCCCTCCCTTTTTATTACGTGTCAACACACAACAGAGTCTACTAGATTGGCTAAAAAATCTGTATTGCTGATGCCTACACAATGACAAATGTAGCTATTGTACTTACAGCGCCAAGTTGTGAGTTATACTGTAGCTATGCTGAATGAACTTTAGTTACAGTTTCTGGGAGATAATATTTACTTGACTCCCACAAGGTCAAGATGTGACGCAAGGTCGATTAACGTGGGAGACCCGAGTGTTTCCACTCAAAGGCCACTGGTCAAAATTGGTCAAAGCATGTCCAAGCTGGTCTGAGCTTAGTCAAAGCTGGTCATGACTTGTCCTAACAGGTCCAGGCCGGAGCCAGTCCAAGCTAGTCGAAGCCTTGATCGAATCTCAGCCATAGGCCAAGAAACGATCCAATATTTGTCAAAAAACCCAACGAAAGTTGTCGGGCGAGTTACAGTTTCTAGGAGATAGTGAAAAATCTGCCGTGATCAGTAGTTAAATAAAACCAGCACTCTCAAACCTTCGGTCACGATGACTTGCGACTTCGTGCAAGCAAAAATATGTTCAAACTTTTGGTCATTAGGACTTGCGAATTTGTGCATGTACAAACATCCGCCAAGTGTCGGTCACGATAATATGTGACTTAATGCCAATACGCTCAAACCATCGGTCACGATAACTTGTGATTTCGTGCAACCTCAAACAAGCTCAAAACTTTTGTCACGATGACTTGTGGCTTCATGATATATATATATCTAAAATATATATTCCATGCTGCATCTTCGTTTCTTGTCCATTGTTAAGAAGCTTATATTTACTTCATATGTATAATATTTTCTTTGGTTCAACCATAAATGTTTGCAAGGTTTAGTCCCTAGCCTTGTGATGTCAACCAGTACAGAAAAAAAAGAAAAATTATTGCTCCAAACTCACTGCACTGACACGGGATATGAAAAGGGAGAAGGATTTTCTTTGTGTCAAATATATCTTTGCTCATTCATAACTGACATTTCACAAGTCACCCTCGATTGAACCGTGTTTCTGGATTCTAGAGGTTAGGGTTTTGTTTGGTTTGATTTACGGCATATCAACCTCAATGGGTTATTTAATGCCGACAAAATTTTTATTACTGGTAATATTTTTTTTCTTAAAATATGTGTAGCTGGCAATATCTTTTTTTTCCAAAAATGTATAGCTGGTAATATTTTTTTCAAAAATATATTGCTGGTAATACTTTTGTTGTTGTATTGCTGGTAATATTTTTTTACGAAGAATTTCTGCTATTAAAGCTATTTTTACACTTT